AAGGCTATATAGTTTACATTAGGTAACTGATGCAGTGCAACAACGTTAGTGACGTGCGTATTGTTGCAAAAGCAGGTAGCCATTTATATGAGTTATATGTAAGACTGTGTGTGGCTATATTAAGAAAAGAACCGAAAATTAACATATCACTCAATACCAATTTTCTGTACTAGTCTATGCCGGGGGTGACGAACTAATTGATAATTAACTACTCTTTCTACTTCCGGTTGAATCTGAAGAAATGCTTAATGGTATTACGAGGGAAGCCTAGATGCCTATTGTGGTTAATCCGGGAATAGCCATGATGGCTACTCCCGGATTAGCCTTGACCATTGAAAATGACTTATTGAATCAGCAATATAGTATTCTATTTTTTATCTATTTTAGTGTTAATTTCTAAGATAAACAATATAAGATGAAAGTAAATTTCATCACACGTTCATTTATTCTTCATGGATCCATATATTTTGACTATTTGAAAATTTCTTATTACTCAGCAGTATTAGTTATAATATTTTTTTTATTTCCTAACAGACATAATTATACATGCAACATATCCATTTGGTACGAATTCTGAAAAGAAAATTCATCAAGAAATGCTATTCTCCCCATTAGACATGCCGTTAATTACCAATGATCACCTTTAATGTAAAATTCAAAAACTTTAACCTAAACACATTAAAGGGACCCCACTGAGGTTTTTTGACATAATGGGACTGAAAATATTTTTCCCAGATAAATGTACCATTTGATGTAGGTTTAAACCACTAACCTTTGTGCAAAACTTCAGATCATTCGCGCACTTCGTTTATCCAGAATAATTATTCAAATTGTAAAAAATGACCCAAAATGAAAAGCGTTTAAACGCTTTTCACTCAAATCTGTCTAAGATCATTATAAAAACACGATTTTCAATTTATTTCAAAGTATATTTCTTAACTACCTTTGCGTATGATACTGTATAGTGTCCAAGCTCATTTATATAAGAAATTCCATTTTTATTTTTTAGGCTTTTAAACCTCAGTGGAGTCCCTTTAACATTGAGACGACAAAACCGTTGAGCAATCGCATCCAGACCATTGCATCATTATCGTTATTCTTCTTATTATTAATATTATAATTATTTTTATTACTAATTTTCTTCTCAAAACTCAAAACTGATGCTCACACTCAAGACCATGAATTTGTGCAAATTATGCTGAGGTATTCGGATGGTTTAATTTTCGGCATTGATTTCAATCATTTAATATGTAAATACTTAAACTAAAACTTACATTTTATAATGTAAGAAAACCAAAATCCTAGCCTAATGACAGAAAGTCATAGGTTTAAACTACTGCAATTTGAACGATATCCATATTTTTTTTGAAATTATTGTTTGACGTTGAAAATGGAAATTGTGCAACCCGATCCTTTAAAATGGCAAATGTTTATTCATTAATTCAAGCAATTAATGTTCCTGCAAAGGATGAAAGCAGATTTAATGTCCAAATAGGCATATTCCCTAGATTTTGAACTATATTAACAGCTAAACCAAGAGCGTAGATCTAGTTCATTTAAACTCGAGTGTAATATACACGGGGGTGGAACCCCATATGAATCTCAAAAATGAGCATCGGTAAAAATGATATGTGAATTTCCGCTGCACCAGATGTGAAGCATAACACCAGATATGACTGGAAAAATAGGCCGATCGCAGGGTAAGTTTTCATTTTTTTAAACATTTATATAAAATTCAATCCTTTTTTTAAGAAAATCGAAATGTGATTCTACCCTCCTGACTCTCCTCTATATTACCCATTTATGTTTTAGATTTCTATGCAGTCTTCATCGAGATATTTTTTCCGTCGTGGGTTCTGGTGTGTCCAAAACATGCAATGTAAATGAAGAAAATGTCACTAAACGGACTCAAAAAACAGAGATTTTACAAAATGTCACTACAGGTCGATGCTAAACATTCAAACAAATCCTGGTTTAAACATTTATTGAGATTTGGCTACATACAAGGGAATCGCTGCTCAAAATTGCATTTGAGCTCCAGATGTGCTGAAGAGATTCATAAGTGATGTAGAAAACCATCTACAAAACTACTCACCACTTCCATATAATCATTGAATAGCCAATGTATAGAAACAATATAGGTCTTGCAACTTTGGCTGAAAGTTCAATTGTAACATTAGTGTGTTTGATTACCGCAGTGACAGAGCTTACTAGCTTATGCTAGCATTAGAAATACTAAAAGGCCCGAGTATATGAAAATGTTGGCGCAGAGCGGATAGTACTCTTATGATAAACAATTCACTAATAAATGATATGTAACTTGGACAAACCAAACTGAAAGTATTGAACTTTGTAAAGCTATTGTGTCATATAATATGTGTCTATAATAATGTTTGCATTCATAAAAATATATATCACTTTTATATTCCACAAGTTAAAGTTATAGCGACAGACTGTTATGTGTAAATATCATGGCCTGATGCGACATCGAAGGTTTTCTTTACAGAATTTGGGTCGAGAACATTGTCTGTAAGGAAAACCCGAGATGCCGCCCCAGGTCATGATATTTCTACATAATAGTCGAGTTCAATATATTATAACTGTTTTATCACATGATAAACAGAAATGAAAATTTAAATAAACATAAAATTAAATTTATGATTGGCTTCTCTCCTTAAATTAAATTCCCCACCCGAAACTCGGTTACTTTTTATGTAACATGTCAATTACCGATATTGTAAACCTCTCATCACATGAGCCAATCAGAAGTGTGTTGGGTGTTCATGACCAACATTGCTGTAAATAATTGGGACGCGACAGTACAACACTAACCGCCGTTTCATCAGCATTTTAATGGCATGCCAAAAGATGGATTTTTAAATTTATATCAATAAGTCTATTATTAACGATTATTGTTATTTTCTCGGGGACTTGCAATGGATAATATTGCAAGTAATGCTACTAATGAAAAGATTCATAGAGGCAGTGCCTCCTAGCACAAAATAACATGAAAAAAATAAAAGGTTTATAAACAAGTACGTCCATGCACCAGACAAAACTTTATGCAAACCCATTTCCACATTACATATCCCATTAATAAATTTGTTTTTTGCTGTTGTAGTTGTTGTTTTTTTTGGTTTTTTTTGGGAGAGGGGATTACAGAGCAGGCATAAAATTCAGATAGGCATTGACCCATAATTGCGACTGTGGGCATGAAGTGAACCATGCAAATATTCTGCAGGGACGTTTCATGATGTGGAAAATAAATATGCAAATCTTCTTTGATCTTTTTTTAAAAGTTTATTACTTACTTTCTTACAGCATCATAACAAATTCAAACACGCTTCACATTACTCCTCTATTAAGCAGACAGTGCAGTCGAGTGAATAATTAATTAATTAATTAATGCATGGTGGCATAAAAAGGGAAAGATTGCAGTACACACGACGTCAATAAGTCAAAATAAGCAAGGCCTTACCACCATATATACGTATTTTCAAAACCTTTCGTATGCAGAATGTCTTATATATCTTTTTATATGGATACTTTGTTATTCAAGCTCGTCTCGTGAAAATGTGACTTTTTCGGATAATAGTATTTATTACAGAATGATACACAATAGAATAAATCTTGATTGCTGTATGAAAGTGATGCGTAATTATGTTGCTAATTTTTTATGTTATGCACATCAGCACATCAGGAGCTCAAATGCAATTTTGAGCAGCGATTCCCTTGTATGTAGCCAAATCTCAATAAATGTTTAAACCAGGATTTGTTTGAATGTTTAGCATCGACCTGTATGACATTTCGTAAAATCTCTGTTTTTTGAATCCGTTTAGTGACATTTTCTTCATTCATATTGCATGTTTTGGGCACACCAGAACCCATGACGGAAAAAATATCTCGATGAAGACTGCATAGAAATCCAAAACAACAATGGGTAATATAGAGGAGAGTCAGGAGGGTAGAATCACATTTCGATTTTCTTAAAAAAAGGATTGAATTTTATATAAATGTTTTAAAAGATGAAAACTTACCCTGCGATCGGCCTATTTTTCCAGTCACATCTGGTGTTATGCTTCACATCTGGTTCAGCGGAAATTCACATATCATTTTTACCGATGCTCATTTTTGAGATTCATATGGGGTTCCACCCCCGTGATATAGACATAATGTTACATCTCTGGAAGACAGGGGAAATGATCAAAAAGTTAAAGAACTGTGATGACTACATGCAAGTCTATCAATAAACACATGTTTTCCCATTTTAAATCATTAACTGACTTTCATTTTATGAAAATAAAGGTCATTGATGTCTTATAACTTAAAGGTAGTCGACTGAAGAGATTTTTGACATGACAGTACTGGAAATAATTTTTAAAATCATTTTAACATTTTGATACAGTAATAGATAATTACTAATGTGCAAAATTACAGATAATTCGCTCACTCCGATTTTTTTTTAAATTGAGCATATCTACGTAACGTTATTGTGTGTGTGTGTGTGTGTGTGTGTGTGTGTGTGTGTGTGTGTTGGTGCTCTTGTAAGGACCAGCAACTGAGGACATTTGTCAGGAATAACAGCAACGAGTGAGGACATGACCGACAATTGAGCCCATCCTCAATTGACAAAAATATTTTATACTCTAAAAATGCTTATTTTTTGCTAAAACATGTAAAAAAATGGTAATCAAGTTGTGTCCTCGGTTGGAGGTCTCATATGATGGGTGTGTCGGGGCTGTGTGTCGACCTAAAAAAGTAGCCATTTTTGAACTTCCCACTCGGCGAATTATTGCGTCCTCAATTGCTGGTCAGATTTGACAAAACTGGAATACAGCATTTCTATTGGTTGAAATTAATGCCAAAAAAATGGGAAATATTATTTAAGCTGATAATTAGTAGATGTAGACACTTTAAGAAAGATTTAAAATCCACTATGAATTTATAAACAGGTAAAATTTGTAAAGGTTATCTGCTTACTTACCGGAAGTCATTTAAAGGAAATTTGGAATCGGACATTTTTACTGCGTGGTACAGTACAGGAATGCGGAGGCAGAAAAAGGTAAAAGAATGTAAATTTTGATGCTATAATACTTCTAATAATTCATTGCAGCTTAATAGGCTTTACAGTTGTACTATTTGTTTTTCTATACTGTTTAGTCCTAAAGTTTAGACAGCCTCAATTGATCATAGTACATGTACAGAAATCAACTCGTACCCAAACCATTTCGTTTTATCATGCCTGTTGAAAGGACTGATTAAAAATGCTTTAAATAAGAAAAAAAATATTAAATCTAATAAAATTGAAATAAAAAACAACAAGAATTGTGAATGTTACCGCAGGGAATAGGTAAATTTTTATTTGTCACTTATTTTCGCGATGCCGCTTTTTATTAAATAAAAATTGGAAGCTATGTTTTGTTAAAATGTGTGTATAAAACACTAAAAATGCGTTGATGAATGAAAACTACTGAAGGTATTGTTTACACAACTTGAACGAAGATATCTGCCAGTATGTGTTAGTTAGTTCTACATAAAATAGATCTATATATATAAGGAATATTTTCTATAAGGGTTTATTTTATTAGTTCTACATAAAAATGATATAAGCTAGGAATATTTCTAAGGGGTATATGTAGTAGAGTGAATAATGAAGAAAAAACCCAGCTTAATGGTCTGTTGATGTAGGGTTACAGAAATTATATTTCAAATCTTTCTTGTACAGTACACAGGTTTCCAATTTTGGTACATGAATTACCATTTTCCTTAAGCCTGTTCAATATTCAAACTCTGACACCCCCTCCCCTTTCCCACTCTACTGTGGTGAGGTATGGTAGTGTAACCGTAATCCGGAACATACCGTTCCCGGAAGGTACGAGATTTAGTCCGGGCAAGATGAGAACGATTCCTAGCCGCCATCTTGTAGGAAGGTAATTAGAACGGCAAGATAAATCCGAAGAATCTGAGAGATATAATTGGTTATCCGTACAGGGAAAGTGTTTCAAGGTAAGCAGAACACTTTAATGGTGGCAGCTACTATTCGAATTCACGTCAACTTCGTAGGAATTCTACGCAATCCGGAGGTAAACCAGCGATTTTCTCAACCATAAAAACTTTGGTTTTCAAATATTGAAATCTAAGTATTTCCAATGTTTGGGAGGGGGAAAAGGGACTGTTGGTTTGGATTGAACAAGCACTGTACGTTTAGATGATTTAATGTGGAAATTTGCTAAAATTGAGTATTTAGAGTACTCTTTTGGTAAGTTTAGAAACTTCGGATATTCGGACTTACGACGCATGCGCATCGGAAAGCTAAGCTTCCGCCCAGGATCAGTTTCGCACGTGAAAACTGTGCCAGTTCAGCATTATATTTAAAATATTTTTGAATAATATTTGGGTTAAATTTTTTGGTATATTTTCAGCGGTTCAGTATAATTGATTGAATTTATTTGCATTGTTGTTTCTGAAGGTCAATACACAGAGTAGATTTACTCTTGTTTGATTTTTGTTTGTATGTATAGTTGAAGGCTAAGTCTCACTATATATTTAATTTTACAATTAGAGGCAAAGATCCTCATTGTATTTATAAACAACAAGGTCAGATTTTTGTATTTTATTTTCGTTATTGATTTTTGAATTACTTAGTAAAAATTCTATCATAATTTTTAATCTGAATTGTTTTTAATAAATGTAAATTATTTTTCGGGAAGGAAATAATTGTCTGTAATACATTAAAAATAATTTCGAATGTAAAAATGATTGCAAGTCTGCTGTCTAACGACTGATTGACTTGACATACTTTAGCTGAACTTCACTGAATCCAATTGCACGAATTATAACTAATTCCTGCATTAGTCGTCGTTATATCTTTGGGCTACCAAGTAAGAACAAAAAATAATGGCAGGTTGCAGCGAAAGAATTTGTGTTTAATTTTGCTTTCGAAAGAGGGACACCTAAGGATTCCGGGCATAAGTTCAAGGATAGCTGAGTCTATTATTACAATCCGTAATAGTGGAGGGAATATAACACTCGGAGTGCTGCAAGACATGTTAGAGCGCACTTTAGATAAAGAAGAAGTAGCTCTGCTGGACTTTTCACTAAGTGAGGGTTTGCCATTAGATTGGGGGAATATACTACCTAAAGTACCATCTTCGTCAAGGAAAGATTCTGGTGAAGGAGGGGACAGTCGAGCAATTTTGGACAGCTTGTTGGAAGTTCAAGAAAAAGGGGAACTTCAATGAAGATGCTGAGGAGCCCGACAAGATTCCTTCAAGAAATGATTGGCAAAAGTACAAAAAGTCTTGAAAGTAGCCAAAGATATCATTCGCGCCAAAAATGCAAGTAGTGCGGTTGACCCCTGTCCTCAAAGGCCAAGTCTTTGAGAGGTGGGGTGCGTCCCAAGCTAAAACACAGCTGCTAGGTATGATGATTCTTCAAGTGATGAATTATCTGGACTGAGTAGACAATCTTCTCCGCAATCTAGAGTTAAACATAGCGCGAAAAAGTCCGAAACTGCAGCATTTATTCGGAGTCTGCCGAAGAGGTTGCAGTATGATGGAAAGGGAAACTGGCTGGCATTTAAGCAGAAGTTTTTTCGTTATGCTAACGCATGCGATTGGACGTCAGACGAATGCTTTGATGGTTTATGCTGGTGCCTGACTGGAAAAGCCGCTGACTATTATGCAATCGTCGTGGAGAGAGAAGGCGATATTTCTTATCGGAAGCTCTTGCAGAAACTGGAGATGAGATTTGGTTCCAGGGAACCTGCTGAAACAGCCCAAGTGTGTTTCCAGCAATCTTCACAGCTGCAGGGAGAGTCTCTTGATGATTGGGCAGATAGAGTCATGACCCTGGCGACAAATGCGTTCAAAGACCTGCCTGAATACTATTCCAATAGGCAGACAGTGAGCAAGTTTTGTGAGGGTCTGGTAGACAAAAGATGCCGCGGTAGCCGTAGCCATGGATAGACCTTCAACCATGGAGGAGGCAATGAATAAAGTCCACTGGTATCAGCACCTGCATCAGTCAGTTTATGGCCGTTCTAAGAAGAGGGCTAGTAAAGAAGTTGTTGACGATGGCGCTAATGTGTTTGCCCTAGAAGAAGCTCCTGAGGTTGCGCAAGCCAACGCTGCTCCATCTCAGTTGAGTTCTTTGGAAGTGGCAATTGAGAAGCTTCAGAGATGTTTTGACAACATGGTCCTGAAACTAGATGAGGAGACAACTTCTCAAGGAAGAAGCAGATGGCCTAGAAGAACTTGTTTCGGTTGTGGGAAAGAGGGTCATTTCAAGTCTGACTGCCCCTCACTGCAATAAAAAAAAAAAAAGGGGAGGAGGTAGTATGAGTTCTTCCGGTTAGCGTCAGAGTCTCAAACCAGCGTCATTTCATGCTAAGCATGGAGTGAGACCAGGTTTGTGAAGGAAACAGTCATGGACCAAGTTCCATGCTGGATGTATTCTCGATGTAGACAGCATGTAAAGAAACATTAGCAAGTGTGTTGCAGAATAGTTCGATTCGAGGCTCATTTGGTTATTGCTGGGAAAGAAGTAACACAGACAGTTTAAGCCAGATCGAGGAGGGTTGTTCCATAGCAACATAATCCTATGTGTTTGTCAGAAGCATGTCAAAGCTGCATTGTCACGAATACCGGTATCGGGGCATTGTACGAGTATGTTTCTGGGCGTCGAACTGAGGAAACTGCCTTGTGGGGGATGTGATCATTGCGCAAGGGTTGACTAGGACCTCGTCATGAGGGACGTAGATGTGGCAATTCTCTTGGTATTGCAAGGTGTGTGAAGATGAAGTTTGACCGTGACAAGTCATAAGGTATCATCACAATAATGTCGATAACCAGGTATCACGAGGTGTGCGAAAGATGAAGTTTGACGAAAGTCATAAGGTATCATCGCAATAATGCTGATAATCTGGAGAGATTTTGCGGATCCATTGTATCGTCGCAATTCCAAGGTCACAAGGGGTGCAAAGGTTCACAAGGAAGCAAATGTCCAAATGTTGGGGTTGTACGCACAGAATCAGGTCAATGGTGCTAAAGTTTAGTGTGTTTTGAAGATGCTGTAAGATTGTGAGCATATATTGAGAATACAGATCGATGCTCTTGTGGTGGAAGGGGAAATAGGGCACAGTTTTGAGTAGTGAAAACTTTCGCTAGAAACTGTAGAGTAACTTCCGCCAGCAGTGCTAGTTCTAAGAGCTAGTGCTGGGTATTTAGTATTGCCAAAGTCATTAAGTAGTTCTAGTAGGTCCTGGGGCTAAGTCCCACTGGCTGAATAAGGAACAGTACTTATAAATAGACTAAGTTCTATTGAGGGACATGGGCTATACTAAAGGTAAGATTCCCAATAAGTAGAAAGGTTCTTCAGATGAGTCAGGATATACCATCAGGTGGTGTCTAGGTGTTGCAGTGACCAGGGCCAGGTTTAAGAAGATGTTCTTCTGGTATGGCAGGGGTCAAGATAGTGCAAGTCATGTGACGACATGTGGAATTGCATTTGCAGCATGAAGATGGATGGTCATGGGTAGGTTGGTACAACAGGTCCTGTTCTGAAGATACAAGGGAAAACAGAGGTTACAGCCACAGCAGCCACATTAACACAGAACAAGAAAGCAACAAACTTAGCATTGCACATTTGTACTTGTTAATATCCCAGGCTTCTGTTATTTCCAATAAGATCTCCCACCTGTGGTGCCTTTGATGCTGTTGGGAGATCTTATTGGAAATAACAGAAGCCTGGGATATTAACAAGTACAAATGTGCAATGCTAAGTTTGTTGCTTTCTTGTTCTGTGTTAATGTGGCTGCTGTGGTGTAGAAGGTATCTCCACAAATCTGTAGTCAACACTCAGGTTTGGTGTAGAGGTGTAAGCTGCAATCGGCTTAGGAACTGGATGCTGGCCGCTGTTAAAACAGTGCCCAGGAAGGTAAGATATCTAAGATATCAGTTATCCAGTTAAGCTATCTGTCAATAACTTGTCAGATAGGCATTTGGCAGATTACTTGTTGCCCAGGCTAATGCCTGCCCACTTATAATCTGTGTTTACAGGCCA